GAAGAGCTGTGCCTTGCTAAGTGAGTTCAGGATTGGTCAGAGGTTCTGCAGTGGCTTTTAGGAATGGTCTGAAAGCAATAACTAGATGCAGCTCTGTTCTTGGAGAGCTACAGGGTTTCCGTGCTTAAGTTCCCTTGCTACTGTGCCCAAGAGTGTATCAGGACGAGTACAGTTTTCAACTGATTTGTAGATAAGTCATAAAAAAAATAATCAAAGCTATTGTCAATACCTTTCTAGATACTGTTAGTACTTGCAGATACCATTGCGGTGCTGGGGCATGATGTTAAAACAAACTATACTCTTCTCTGCTGCACCAGCCCAAGAACGATCACGTTAGTATTTAAAAAAAGCTCTGAAAAGAAGGCACATCTGCTTCACGGGTTGGGTGGGCCTAAGCCTTTCTTAGTTACTAGAATTACATGTTTCAACCCACAACATGGAAACAGATTCCAATGAACGGGAGAAAGGGGTCTGGAGAGGGGCTCAGGTTTGATCTGGGTGCAGAAGTGGTGTAGTCTGAAGCACAAACTAAAGCGTTCCAGCTGCAAGTCAAACCCAGGAATGCATCATGCAAGATCTTATTTTTCTGTAGGGCTGGTAACATGAGCATTCAAATCGTTCACTGCCTTTGAAGCCTGTGAAATCCATAATGGCCACAAAGCGAACATGTAGCAACTACATTTCAATTACCAAAGGCTGGTCAAGTACCCGGCTTTATTCTCTCCAGTAACAAAACTCCCATCGACTTCAAAGGGGTTGGGATTTACTCCATAGTGCAAGTGCTGGGTCCAATGAAATTGGAGATGTAATCCTGGGACGAGATATTTTAGCTTCTGAAGTTGCAGACAGATGGGCAGGATCAAGCTCTGGGGTTGAGGGGAGCTATACAGTCTGCGTTTTTTCTGCAGCTTCAGGTTAATAAATGGAGGATGATGCCCTGACTGATAATCTGCCCCAGAAGTGCAAGGGTACTTTTCAAAAATAAATAAGTTCCTATCAATTGCAATAGGAGTTAGGTATGCAACCTGCTTAGCTGCTCTCAGAAATCCCACTGCATGCCTGTCTGTCTCTTCAGCCCTTTAGTCCCTTTGAAATTCTTGCTTTGGCCATGGCTTACAACAGTGGAAAGTCTGCAGGTAATGGATATTTCTTTTGCAAAGTAAAAGTGTTTTTGCACTGTAAAAGTATCAAAGTTTGGTTTTTTTCAGGTTGATATCCATGAGCTTTATTTTGACATGTTCTCTGTGTAGGTGCCCTAGATAAATGACTTTCAACACCTTGTAGCAAGCCTTGTGCCTTGTGATGGGCACTCCTGAGCACCGGAATCTGCTTTGCTTTCCTGCAGTGCCCAGGAGGGAGGAGATGGAGGCTTGAGCAGCACCCAGCTCCCTGATGGCAACCTTTAGTTCCCGCTGGCAGGGTCTGTGACCACAACAGGGACTTGATGTCCTGCTGCTCAGCACCCTTCTCAAGCCAGTCGCTGGCTTTACAAAACTCTTTTCCCAGGCTTTTGGGCGAGTGAACCATGAAGACCAAACAGAAGTTGGACATGAGTCACTGGACTTTAAGTTATGCACACGAAAGCTTTGAGACATGTTATATTAGTCAAAACATCAACTGTTTTCACAGTGTTTATGATATTAGGAACATTTTTGTTCATGAATGTACTTGTTTGCTTAAAGTGAATAACTGATGCTTTGTGCCTAAAGAATGCTCTACGTGCCCCTTTATAAAGGAGATGCTGCCAGTTTGAAAAGCTTGCCTTGCAATGAATGCAGAGATTTAGAAAGGCCAGAAAGAATGTTTGATCATTTAGTCTGGTTTCCTATAAACACCTGTAATAATATCTTCAGTCTGACAACGATATAACTTCTGTTAGTCGAAGTCCAGAGTGGCAACCCCATACAAAGGACAGGTCACTGTTGCAGTTGTTAGGTGTGTATCTGCCTGCAACTGAGCGGGCGGATGGAGGGGACCTTCCACCCTCTGTCCAAGTGTCGATACTGTTGAGGGGCAGGGTTTCAGAAATTGTCTGCTGTGGGTGCAGCTGTTTGTCTGGAAAGACTGATGCCAGTATTTTTCACCGACAATAAACTGCAGACAAGCGATGTTGCAGGTTAGATACCTCCCAACCTGTCTGAACTCGTAAAGCAAGTT